ACTACGACAACAGATAGTATGATACTGAATAAGGACAGATACAGAGATCAATGGAGTGAAATTGAAGATCCTAAATAAGCCCTTACATTAATTTTTCCATGGGTGCTAGGACAATTGAAGGCAAAGCAATTGTCTTTTCAACAAAGGGTGATAGAACAATTGGATATCACACGATGAAGATTGAAATCAAGCACCTACAACATGTTCTAGTTTTTAAAAGTCAACTGAAAATGGATCATAGACCTAAGTGTAAAGGCAATACTTATGGAACTCATAGAAGAAAACAGAGAAGTAAGTCTTTCTGGCCTTGGGGTAAACAATGCTTTAGAATGCAGCTTGGCATTTCCTCAGAATGATAAACATTGGTCAAGCAAATTTATTCCTATCTATTGACATATAAGAGGATGAAAAATGTATGTCTACACAAAAGCATGAATATTCAGAACAGTATTCATAATAACCAAGAGATATAAACAACTCAAATATTTATCAACTGATAAACTGGTATGTCTGTTCAATGAGTTGTTAAGCCCTAAAAAGAAATAAAATACTGATATGTGTCACTATTGTTTAGTTGCTAAGTTGTGCCTGACTATTTTGTGACCCCATGGACTGTAACCCCCCAGCCTCTGCCTTCCATGGGATTTCACAGGCAAGAATAGTGGAGTGGGTTGCTGTTTCCTTCTCAAGGAGATCTTCTAAACCCAGGAATCAAACCCATGTCTCCTGCATTGACTGGCAGATTCCTTACCACTGAGCCACCATGTGTAACTATAGGGATAAACTCTGAAAATACAGTGTTAAGTGAAAAAAGCCACATACAAAAGACCATGCATTCCGTGATTCTGTATATGTGAAATGGCTAGATTTAACAAATCTATAGAGACAGAGTATAAATTTGTGAATGCCAGCGACTGGAGGAAAACCAAAATCAGGAAAGATACTAATCAGTTATCGTATCTCTGGCCCTGTTGGTGACGCCAGTCTATTTATTTATTTTAGTTTTCAGTACTAAGCATTTTCCTAGATAGCTAATTGATGACTAATTTAATATTATTATGGTAATAGAGCAACATTTTATATGATTTCAATGTGTTTAGAGTTGGTCTATGGCCCAGAATATAGAATGCAGTCTATCTTGGTGAATAGGCCATGTGTGCTTTAAACGTGTGTGTATGTATGTGATAGTTTTGAAGTATAGTATTTTTAAATATTTAAATATTTAATATATTTAAATATTTAAAATATAAATATTTGAATATTT